CATCGCCATAGTACCTCTCGATCGACAGAATCGAATGACGCCTTCAGGTTAAGAAATATAATGATTGTTGGACGCCAACTGTAAGTATGCCTACGTTCCAGAATCTATCGAAGGGTGAAAATATTATGGTCGATACACCCTCTTCCTGATCTAAAGCCTGCCTGGTTCTCTCGTGTTTGTTTATCCCGAGCACCACAGTCTGCGCATAATTATCGAGCCTCGAACTTCAGATACCATATTAGTCAAGCTAATCCCCCTGTGATTATCACTGGAAGACTTATCTCCCTTCTTGTATATGGGGATAATCAATAGCTTACACCAACCCGACGTGACTTCCTCTGATTCCCAGATGCTGTCTAATACCTTAGTTAACGCAGACAGTAAACTGTCCTCGATGCTTAACATTAACATTACCCACTATATAATGCTATTTAACACGAGAGATAAAACGGGAACATATGTGTTCGAAAACTACTAGCCTTTTCATATAGTCCACTTTCAATGGTCATTTCTCAGTTAGACATCTCGTTTGCCACACGATCATCTGCACAAACAACCATCAAAATACACAAATCTATAACAGTGGCTGCAAGCATTAAATGCATCCAATCTCTTATATTGATGATGAATAACATCGTACATACATTGATTGTTAGTTGATAAATTAAGAGAAAACATTATTCGCTTAATTAAGAGCATGTGACCTTTCTTTGAATTCAGTTTTAGAATGTCGTCGTTAGTAAACTCAAAGTTAAATGAGAAAATTAAACGAATCTATCTGTGACCCTATTGCCTGCTTAGAACAGTGATTGTATATCCTTTTAGAGTATAGATGGAGTGCTCGAAACGCCTTTCTGATAAACAGTTCCAGAGGTCAGCGTTGCTCAGCTCTACATATCAAGAAGTATAGCAATCGTTAGTTTGAAAATAACTATGACTATGTTCTAACATTTGATGGCGGCGGGTGAGAAAACTGACCAATTCATCCACATCGTTCAACAAAATTCATTCAGCAAATTTGCCTATCCATGCAATGATTTCCCCTGTTCGTCTGAAGCAGCCGTATAACATACTCAATGCACTTGACTACAAGTGTATCTGTTTCTGTGTATGTTTTAGATGTGAAAGTACAAAGGTTGTAATTCAAAGGTGTGTTATCCCCTCTATCCTTGACAAGTAGTATTGGCCAAGGGTAGTGTCTCTCAACCGCTCCGACCCTCTTGACTTACACCTGTTTCTGGGAGAATTCATGATACCATCCTTCATAGGTGGAATAGGATTTAAACCTATCAACTCAGAGTCCGTAAATTAGTGCGCCACAGCTTGACAGCTGTAGTCATTTAGTTAAAGTAAGACAAGTCTGCAAATTTTCCATAGATAGATAAATCAGAATATGTCACTACTCTATGTGTATATACATCTCATAATGTGACTAACCTAACTTACTATCTTTCGTGTCATATTCATGAGCGTTTAATCCATCCTTCATTGTTCTTATTCCTATACTGGATACGTTGCCAAGGAAAACTTGTCTCCCTTCCTGTGTATGGGGATAATCAATGACTTACACCAACCCTACGGGACTTCGTCTGATTCCCAGATGCTGCCTAAAGCCTTAGTTAAGGCATACAGTAAGCCTTCCTCACCATCCTTAAACACCTCTCGGATCCTTCCATGAGGTCCCGCTGCTTTCCTCGTTTCAGACTAGTGGTAACTTTTTGACCTCAGTCACGGACGGACGACCTGTGTTCAGGGAGGTGTTGAATGCTCAGTAGGTTGAGGGTGGCTGTAGGCCAATTAAATTGCTTCTCAAAGTTTTCTTCCCAACGTTCCAGTCGTCTATCCTGGAAGCTAATTATGATGCCATTTTTCTAAGGGATTGTTTCACTTATCATTTGCCTTTTACCACATGTTTCCCTGATAAGTCTAAATAGTTGTCTGGTGTTACCTATCGCCGATGCCTTTTCCATCTCTTTCGATTTTGTCGCCCATCACTGTTCACGGTCGTTGCAAAGACTTCTGGTTAGTTTGCGTTTGAGCAGCTTTCGCTCCTCATCATATTCTGAGCTCGCTAGAATCAGTCAACTTGCTTTAATAATTTCAGATGATGTGGTGGAAATCTGCTGGCCTTTACTAACTTTGGGTTTCAGGCTACTAACAGCCTTTACAGCTAACTGTATGTTGCGCCAGCCAGGCTTCCTCAGGAGGGGTCTTTCTGTCGACCTCAGATACTCGTTTCGTCATTTCTTCCTCAAATAGGGTCTTGGTGTCTTGATCTAGTTGGGGGCGTAACTGCTTCGCTGCCAAGAATCTTTTAAGTCTGTTTAATTGTAAACACAACCGTGCGCGAACCAAAGGCGTGATCGGAGTCTTTTCACGTTTTCCAGAAGGAGTGGCAGTCCTCTACTGACCCTCGCCAACAATACCCTATGGCCAAGTGGCCTATTTGAGTCCAGCGTTGATTTGGTGATGGAGGTCGCCAGGTTACGCAGTGTCTCTCTTTGTGCCTAAAGTTCCTGCTGATTAAGAACAGATGATTATCTGAACAGAACTGCAGAAGATGATCACAGTCGTCTGATCATTGTTCTCCAACACTTTCGAGAATCATGAGTGGTTGTTCTTAATGTTACTCTCATATTCCACTTGTTAATTAAAAGTCCTGAAAAGCTGGATACTTACCATTGATTTATATGGATGAATAATCGGGGATTGAAATTTTCTAAAGCGTCTGTTTCTGACCACTGTATTGAGGTCGGAACTATATATCTGCAATGTGTTAGAGTTTATTTCAACAATTTCTCGCTGTTAACTAGTCAGATACTTTTGCTGCTGTTGAATTAGACCAACAAGTTAACATATATATCGTGAACGGAAGTTGCGCATTATTTCCCTGATGTAATCGATTTTCCTAGGGCTAAACACATATAGCATTTAAGCTGTTACGCCGTATACAAGAATAGAGCCTGAGTTCCCTTGTGAAGTTTCAACTATGGTGTAAAAGAATTCATTCGACACTATACAGTGACTTAGTGTATTGCTCATTATCATAAAAAGGTACAACTGAACACAGATGTACTCTGTTAAATATTTTGTATCACTTTTTTTCTATCCTTTTTCGGGTTCTCAGTAGACCGTAGGGCTTCAAACTACAGTTTTGAAGTTTCGGTAGCAGTGGTGTTTGTTACTTTTACAGGGGTTGCTAGCATGATGCTCTTTACCAGTTTTATTACTGGCTTAACGAGGTTGGGTAGTGCGTCGGCAGATGATCGAATCCCGGACCACATGTGTGGTTGGCGAGCATTCTATCGCTGTGCCATCGATACACTCTATCACTCATATTAGTCATCAACAATAAGTTCTCCGTAACGTATTCTAATGTTTGCAGTCAGTTTGCGTGAAAAGTTCCGGCTTTATTGTGGATCAGTTATTCGATAAATATTTTATTCATGTATGTACTAGATCATGAACTGCGTTGTGCTTCATGTTGAACTGGTTATGGCTCCATCCAGTTACTCAAACTGAAGTAATCCGAAATGAGTTTCAGATCAGGATCGGTGACAGTGAGGACTGGACTACACTGACTCCTAGTTTAGAAATAGGGAGTGAAGTGGTAGAGCACGTTGGTCGCTTCACTTATTTAGGAAGTTACATCAGCCAACGCCAGCGGGTTGATGGCTGACGAAATCTCTGCACGGATGCAGAAGGCTAGTTTCGCATATGCTAGTTTACGCCGACTCTGGTGTAGACGTGGTATCCGACTCAGCAGTCCACTCCGTCCTCCTTTATGGCTGTGAGTGGGACATGACTTTTGGGAGTGGAAGACATGAAAATGCCAGCTAACTGTCTTTGATCATAGGTGCCTGAGTTCTATCTCCCGTGTTTGGTGATGGTATAATAGGGTGAACATCATTGAGGCTAGGCTTCGGTCGAGTGCTGGTTAAGGAGTGAGGGGAAATCAATCGACGAGGTTGTGAAGTGATATCAATGGTTAAGACTTGTGTTACGTATGCGTAGTCATCGCCTTCCTCGACTGACTGGCAATGTTAGCTGATATGGGGTCAGGTTGGAAAAGAGTTAGCCAGTGGTGGTCAAACCAAAACATGGCTTCATCAGTCAATGAAATCCACAACAGTTAGTTTGAGCCAGTCAGTCACATTAGGAGGTGTAGACTTCCTGATGAGTTGGGGTCCTCAGGATGGTAAGAACCAATGGAAACTGGAGACAATTGGCTGATGCAGATGCATTCACTCCTTGTGACTTATAATTTCTAATGAAACTATATTGTTCTTCGATATTTCTATTACCTTTTGTCTCATATCTCTGTCTACTGTTTCTATTATGCATTTCTTTTTACTTTCTCTTGCTTTATGTGCTACATGGAGGGAGTGTGGCGACTTGAACTGCTGCACATCGGTGCAAAGTTCTCTGTCGAAAACAGATAGATAGTGAGGTTAGCTGCTTAAGTTAATAAGTCATAGTAACCACGTTATGCGCTACAAAAATTATATGTACGTTTAACTTTAAATTAGCATATACGCAATTTTTAGGTAGAATAATATATTATAGTAATAATAAATGGATAGATAGTAATAATAAATGAGTAGATAAAAGTGTATGGATTCACTCTTGTAAACTTAACTAATAATTAATCGATTTTTTAAGTTTGCTTTTTTCAAGTTTGATCACAGATTCATATCAGTTAGAGAACCATTGAGTTGGGTCCCAGTGATTGATAAATGAACTACAAGCTTATCTTGTAACTTGTAGGTCTTGGATTCGTACTCGTGTGGTGGGTGCGCGTACTGCCGATGAGTTGCAGACTAGAACGAAAAAGCTGCCTAGTACTCCCTGATGGTTTTGCAATGCTTCTCTAACTGATATCAATCTGTAGTCACACTTGAAACATATTAAGTCCCCTCACAAACTAACTCTTAATAATAATAATTAATTGTGATTACGCTTTTTTAATAATGAATTTCTTAAAATTTTCTTTGTATTAGTGAACAAACAGCCGTTGATGCAGCTCATCTATTAATGGGTATGAGTCAGATACAAAGTTTCAAAAAACAATCGGGTTGTGTCAATCTCGACTCCAGTGAAGACAGTTCAATGTCAGAGTCTACAATGACGCTTAGCTTGGATACACATCCTAGTGAAGCACCACCACCACCGACACCAAAACCTCTTCATCAAGTATCAGAAGCTATAAATTGAAATCACACACATATATGTATGTTGTGGAAACTTAGTTAGCCTTACCTTGTACATAATTGTGCAATATATAATATTATACATATTCATAAAGTTGCTGGAATGATGACCATGAATAATCTGTCGCTTTCAGGGTCATACACACACACCTCTACATACTTCTAGTCTAGTTCGCTTTTAGGCGACTCCATTTCAACCCATGACCGACCACCACCACCAACAACAATCCCCCGTCGACCTACTTACTTACTGTGTGGTTCACCTCAATTGCAATAAATATTATATTTAGTTAATTTTGTTTCCGTTGATTTGTTACTTCAGAAATTTTGCGCCCATTTAATAATTAATTGTTAGATGCTGTATTTGATTTACTTACTGATACTCCCTACTACTTCTACTACGTGTGTGTTGCTTGTTTGTTTGTGTATTTTCCCTTTTTGTATTAGGACTCTATCTATAGATTTAATTAAAACAAGAAAAATGTTTCTCATCCCTTTTTGTTTCATGCCTTATTATGCCCGCCTGCCTCCCTCCCCCTCTTCTCTGTTTTATCGTGCAAATAATTTGTAGTCTACCAGCATTTGTATTCTACTATTTATTATTATAACAGTTTTACTAATCATTATTATTACAATAACAGCCCCACAACAACAGCAACGATATAAACTTTTGTTCAGTATTAACAAACACACATGAAATACTCTTTAGAAAAAGGTCTTGTTTGTTTGTTTGCCTTATTTTTCTGCTCTGTGTTAGAATGATTTTCTCTACTGTTTGTTTTCATGTTCTTTCCCTCTCCAAAATATTTGTGCAATCATTCTTAGTGGGTTAATTTTTGTTCATGTTTTGTTAAATGAAGGGAGCGGCGGCGGCGACGACGACAGGAGGAGGTGTGTTCTCACTCTTTGTTGTTTTTCCATTACCTAAATGATGATGTTGATGCGATAATGATGGAACAGTATTGCATGCAGAAATATGCCATGTCATGTATTGCATTACTACTTGACAGTTATTCAATTTCTGTTTTTTTCTCTCTCTCTCTCTTGTTTTTCATTTGTTGCTGTGTTCTTCCGGTTATTTTCCCTTCTTTTGTTTTATTTTCGGAAGTGCATTTTGTTGAAATACTTGTTACCTGTTTCTGTGTTTTGTATTATATACTACCGATTACATTTGACTACTCGCTCGCCTCCTTCTCCCCCCGCCTTCTGCTACCGCCCGAAGTTTTCCTACAGAGAGTTGCGCAATGTTCTACTTTCACTGTTCGATAATTTTTAAATCATTTGTGAACCAACCAACATGTGCAGTATTATTTGTATAAAGTTTTAAAAAATTAATAATTTGAGTTATTCTTAAATAAATAAAAGAATGTTGATTGAGTTCTGTTGTTTTCGTTGTTGCTATGGGCTGGGAGTTCGTCTATTGTGTGCGTGTCTCAAGTCAGGCGCGGTGACTAATTTCGTATGACTACTCGGACACTATCACATTATTATTTATTTTATTGCTTCATGCTTCGAGTGGAACCTAGGGCTCGAAGTTTTTGTAGCAGTGGTGTTTATCACTTTTACGACACGGGAGTGCTAGCCTCATGCCCGCCCCAACCTTCCCTCTTCACCAGCTTTTACTTCTGGGTTACCGAGGTAAACGAGTGCGTCGGTGGCCGGGGATCAAACCCCGGACTGTGTGCATGGTCAGCTTTGAAGTTTCAGTAGCAGCGGTTTTATTTTCACGAGGTAGAGTTGCTAGCCTCATGCGAAACGTTCCCTCTATACTGGCCTCACTACCGATCTAGCAAAATTTAGTAGTGCGCCGCCGACCGAAGATCGAACTCCGGACCACGAGGGTGGTTGGCGAGCGTTCTACAGCTGAACCACCAACGCGATACTATCACATACAGCGGAATAATTCAATGACATTTTGACCAGTCATACATCAGTGTTGTCTGGTTTCAGTAGAGTGAGTGATAATTTGTCATTCCAAAGCATGGTTTAGGCCATGCAAGGTCGAAATCGTTCTTAGTTGAGTAGGCCTATTAAATTCTCTTTCCTATACATTTCCGTTTATTATAACAGTTTCGTAACGTTCCTGTTTTTCGTCCCGCCTATTTGTGCTCTTTTATGATGTACGAAAACTTGAACTGGCAATATATTTGTGCAAAGTCAATACGACCTAGACGGATACTTCTATTTGTCCCTAACAAATGAGTGAGGATAAAAGCTACTACGAAGCAGTGTGAAGTGGTATAATGCGGTGAGCAATACTGAGGTTAGGCATCTGTCGAGTGCTAGGTAAGGAGGGAGGGGAAATCAATCGATGAGGCTGTGAATTTAGATCGACTGAGATGGTCAGAACATGTGTTACGTATGTCTAGTCATCGCCTTCTTCGACTGACAGTCAATGTTAGCTGACTAATATAGGATCAGGCTGGAAAAGAGCTAGCGGCGGTCAAACCGAAACATGGCGTCAGTGAATGAAATCCACAACAGTTAGTTTAAACCAAACAGTCACGTAGGGAGGGGTAGACTTCTTGGTTGAGGCCCTCGGGACGGTAAACACCAATGAAAGCTGGAGACAATCGGTGATATGGCTCAAAATCGTTCTCAGTGGCTGGCGCAGTAAGATGCATCCACTCCTTGTGACTTATGATACCCAATAAAACCATATGGTTCTTCGATATTACTATTCTTTTTGCCTCATATCCCAGTCTACTATCTCTATTATGCATTTCTTTTCTTGCTTTGTGTGCTACATGGAGGGAGTGTGACGACTTGGACTGCTGCACATCAGTGCAAAGTTCTATGTCGAAAACGGACAGACATTACGATGCATTTTCACGCATACTATGTACAGCAAATGCTGCGAAAAATATTCCTAGCGGTGTGTGTGTGTGTGTAAAAATGTGCTGGTATAACAAATAACCTTTGAAACAGTTAAATAGAACATCTGATAAGAAGATGGAGGAGAGAGCATTCCTCTCTAGGCATATAATAACAAAAAATACAACCGTAACTGGAGAATTTAAAGGTGACCGCCGCCTCTATTTCTACATCTGCACTGACACGAAATCGTGAAAAGTTTCATTTGCAGTAAGTTATATCCCCGCCCACGCAAATTTAGTGGACGAGTCTTTTGTTCAGAGATTATTGTGTGTCTATCATATGCGTGGAACTTGAAACTCTACTACGTCAGGCTACTGAAGAATGCCATGTGGGTGTTTCTGAGATAAAAGAAAATATGCATCTCTTATTTCTTTTTTTTTAAATATATCCACATACAAATAAATTTTACAAGTTTGCATGAAAAGTGTTTGTAAGTAAACAAAAATAGAAAAGAGAAGAAATATAATCACACACTTAAATTATGGTTGCATCTCGACTCCATAGTTTATAAGTTAAATCATGTGAACACGTGGCAATGTATTTATTATCCGGTGATATATCCGCGTATACAACTTTACTATTGTGTCCTTCAAGTGTTTTGATTGGCGCCCAGATAGGATGACCCCAAAGTTTAGCTGTTTTATCAAACGAACTAGTAACAAGGTAATTTGAATTCCGAGCTATAAAAAGAAATAAAATAGAATATGTGATATACATACAATTAAAGAGTATACTCAGAATATGAGCGAGCACAGGTTGGCCTGCTTACAAATAGAATTATAACATTATTCAAAAAAACACTAGGGGAAACATTTGAGCCTAAATAGCTCAGTGGTAACGTCTCTGACTGTAGGCAGCACTGGGTGACGCGGGTTCGAATCTCAGAAGGTTGCAGATACGCCTTGCTGATGAATGCCAACTAGCAAGAAACCTAGGTCCAAGGCTTCCTGTGTCCGATTGCCTCCAACCATCTATGCGTCGGTGGCACAGCGGTTAGGACGCTCGCCGACCATGCACATGGTCTGGGGTTCGATCCCCGGTCACCGACGCCACACTCCTTTACCTTGCTAAGCCAGAAATAATGCTGGTAAACAGGGAAGGTTGGGTATGAGGCTAGCAACCCCATCCTTTAAAAATAAACACTGCTACAGAAACTTCAAGCCACTAGCTTGAAGCCCTATGTTGCACTGGGAACGTGAAGGAAAAAAGAAAAGAAGGGGAAACGTTTTGTAAAATCGACTTCTATTCGATATTTGTCTTGGGAAAACAGCGGAAATAAACATGACTAAGAGAAGCATGTAAAGCTTCCGTCTGTCTGTCTATCTGGTTTCAACATAGAACTTTGCACCGGTGTGCAGCAGTTCGAGTCACCACACTTCACTCGGCACACAAAGCAAGAGAAGAAAGTAAAAAGAAACGCGAAATAGAGACAGTAAACAGAGATGTGAGGCAAAAGGAATAGTAATAACGAATAACAATATAGTTTCATTGGGTATTATAAGTCACAAGGAATGGATGCATCTTCGTGCCAGCCATTGAGAACGATTTTGAGTCACATCACCAATTGTTTCCAGCCATTGGTGTTTACCGTCCCGATGACCCCAACCAGTCAGGAAGTCTATGACATCCTACGTGGCTTGAACTAACTGTTGTGGATTTCATTGATTTATGAAGCCCTGTTTTGCTTTGGCCATCACTGGCTCTTTACCAACCTGACCCTTTTTCAGCTAACATTGTCTCTCAGTCAAGGAAGCCGATGGCTAGGCCAGGCACGCGTAACACATGTCACAACCATTTCAGTCGATGTAACTTCACAGCCTCGTTTATTGATTTCCCTTCTTTACCTAGAACTCAACGCCTGACCTCAATGTTGCTGACGTCATTAAACCACTTAACACGGGAGATAGAACTCAGGCACCTATGATCAAAGACGGAGCTAGCTATCTCTTTGTTACCGTTTCGTAGACAGTTCGTTGATATTTCTGCGAATCGTATCCGCCCACGCTAAGTCTGCTGTGAACGCTTGTTGAGTTCCTCAAGTTTAGTCTTTGTTGGTGTTCTTTTCTCATGACCAAGATTTGGGACGTAAGTAAACACTGACGTATATTGTTATCTACAATTTTAGCTAGCAGACAGCTCTCACCGCAATACCACTAAGTTCGACTACTTTGTCTCGTTTTAAACTAGAAAGAGTTTCTTCACACTCAGTTACCTCTAGGGAGCTGATGTTTACATACCATTCAGGTGGGTGTTTGATATGGCTATAGGACAGTTAAATTATTACTCAGTGTTCTGTCTACTGATGTAGTCGTTTGCTCTTCACTTAATGAAACTAAACAGTTGTCTGGTATCATTTACTATTCTGTCATTTGACTTCTTTTTCGCTTTTGTCACAGCTTCTGCGCAGACTGTGTTTTCATAGTATCTTGTATTTCTTCTGTCTATTCATTCGTGAAACACCTACGTGCGTGGGTGGAGTCTATGCATCATGAGCTGTAGACAGAGCAGTAATATTCTACGGTGAATAATACTGAGGTAAGGTGTAGATTGTTTGTTAGGTAAGGAGGGAAAATCAATCGATAAGGTTGTGTAGCCTCATCGACTGAGGTGTCTAGGACACGTGTTACTCGTTGACAAGGGATTGTGTTGGTAGAATGTCGGAAGTTGTCAGACCAAGACACTATTGTACCATGTAGTCCTTCGGCCGTTGGTATGGACCACGGGGGACCTTGGGACGCTAAGAACTAATGGCCGAAGAATGTTGGTACTATGGCTCAAAATGGTACTCAATGACATAGATGTATTGACTCTCTATGAATTCCTAGATCCATTCAACAACTGTCGTTATACTCTCTATTTAGTTATTCTTTCTTTCGTACATTTCGGTTTATTGTATTTCCTTTGAATTTGTTTTTCTGCACTGTTGTGTGCAATATACAGGAGTGTGACAGCTTGAAAAGTTGTGCATCACTGTGCTAAGTTCTACACTGAAAGCCGAGTGAATGACTTTTAATGCTGTCAAGCAGTAATTAAATATCAGTAACCAAATATTAGTAAGCACGGTTTCAACCACAGGCCGACGGAACGCATGAAGATGTCAAAGCCAGATAGCATAGGAAAGGCAAAATACGCCTTCATCAACCTGAAACCAGTACGGGAATCTTCTGCACTCCTCCTCAGCATTAACAACAAGATTCGGATTCTTTTCAACACAAATGTGAACTCAGTCAGTCAGTGCTTTTATGCGGGTCAGAAACTTGCGCTGCGTGCCAAGAAAAGGATTTCCAACAATTTACGGACTTTGCAATTCATGAAAAATCCCCGTTGGAACATTAATAAACAGAAGACCAGTAGTTCGGCGAAGAGTCTCCTTTCACCGGCGAATTCATTTTCATAGCTGTGCAATCGTAAAAATACAACTAGTAGGTTCAGATGAATTGGATGTTGATATGAGGGTACTAACAAAAGTGATGAGTTGTCACAAACGACTGTTAAAGAAGAGTTACTTAGTGTCATGAATAGTTTGATGTAAGAGTTGTGCTCAGGGTGTACATGGGAACAAAGTAGTTAGAAAAATAAGCATAGAAGCAAAAGTGAAGTCAAATCAACAGAGTTATTACCATGATAGTAGAAGTGGTTGACGCGCATCCTGTCAAAAAAGGTTAAAGAACACTATCCAGCGTGGCTGCAGAAGCGAAGTAATGGCTGTATAAGGAGTGTAATGATGGAACATCACGTCAACACTGGTCATTCCATCTCAACAAACGTCTCCTGCTTCAAAGTAATCTACAAAATGAAAAACAATCTGCCAAAGGCAATACGTTTCCGCTTTCTTTGCATTGCACAAGCCGCAGCCATTCAGTTGGAAGAACCAGAACTATGCATACATGAGAAAATTATTCAACCACTTCTACTATCATAGTAATAACTCTGTTGATTTGACTTAACTTTTGCATATCCGCTTGTTCTTTCCAACTACTTAAAACCCTTGAGTAATTCCGTATGTTATTTTGTTTCCATGTACACCCTGAATACAACTCTTTCATCAAACTATTCATGTCATTACGTAACTCTTCTTTAACAATCGTTTGTGACAACTCATCACTTTTGTTACTACTCTCTTATATCAACATCCAATTCATGTGGACTTACTAATTGTATTTTCATTTGACAAATTTAATGTACACAGACATACAAAACAACCATATATATATTTGCGATTGTACAGCTATGAAAATGAACTCTTTGCTGAACTACTGGTCTTCTGTCTTCTGAACTTTTATCCACAGATGCCCACTTCCCTGGCTCCATGCTGAACACCCAATGGCCAACCAGAAGGAATTAGCGACAAGAAACTCTGTCTGGCAACAAACCAACAAGCAAGAGCCGATCGCTGAAGAAACGTAAAGGAGATAGTGGAGATAGATTGGGCACACGACTGTTCAGTGACATCACGTGAAAGGCCTTCGAGTGGAAGTCGAATGAGAAACGACGACTGGGGCGACCAAAGGTGACATGCAGGAGATGAGAGACTATGGACAACGGGGGAACCAGGTGAAGAGGACTATTGACCTGAGTGCTTCAACGTTATTTATGAAAACACTAATTTTGTTAATAACAATAATTATTATTATGGTCATGTCAGTGTAGAACCTGATCAAAAAGTTATGGAAAAGAATACGCTCTGTTCACTCTAAATAATATTTCTTTTCATTCCTTCACGTTCCCAGTGGAACATAGGGCTTCAAACTAGAGGCTTGAAGTTTCCATAGCAGTGGTGTTTATTTTACAGGATGGGGTTGCTAGCCTCATGCCTCTCCCAACCTTCCCTCTTTACCAGCTTTTACTTCTGGCTTACAAAGGTAAAGGAGTGCTTCAGTGGCCGGGGATCGAACCCCAGACCATGTGCATGGTCTGTGAACATCCTAACCTCTGTGCCACCGACGCCTTCTAAATAATAAGTCTTCGAAAACACTTAACAGAACACAATTATACCGGACAATAATCACTGATAGATAACGCATAAAATTTTTTTTCAAAAGAATGCTTACTGAACAAAGAATATTCTTTTCGATAACTTCATCATGAGTCTCTACAGTTATACATACATTATAGTGAATGAATTAGTGTTATTCACAACATTAATGTTGTTTAAATAACATGGAATCAATAATAATAGGAATAGCAGTGAATTACAGTTTCAATATACCAAGTGAGATAATTACGAAGAAGTTAAGAAAATCAGTTCAAAGAACTTTTATTGCTGGTAAACTACAAATCGTATTTTCTACATGACCGATGGTGATTCCTCGACTGAAAGATGAAGTACCTAGACTAGCTAGCCACTTCTAATTGTATCTACCAATTCAACTATGCTTGTGGTGGAGCGAGTTATATTGTCCATTGCTCTAGGAACTTGATTTTTCGGGCTCTCTCGGGAAAATCTCCCAGTGTGGCTAAGTAAAGGTAAAAAGCATCAACAGTTAGATATTAGACCACCTGATCCAAACCGGCGACAAAGTCAGTATCGAAGAATCTTCCATCGTATAGCGGGTACCAAACAAATTACCAAAAACACCCAGGTACCGCATGCTCCAAACACCAGAGGCTATTGCGATTCGGGTGAAACAATCAGTGCTTTGTGTGCAAAAGAAGCAAGTCTAGCCAGCCACTACTAGTGCCCTGGCTGGCCTTCGGCGGAGACTAGAAATTCATGAATTTGTAATATTATCTTTCCTAATTTTTCTGACATTCAGTTTGTTGTTATGTTGATGCTATCGAAGTGTAATATATTGATATCATTGATTCGACGTTATTTAAACAACATTAATGTTCATTATAAATTATTTAAATTAATCCCAGCGTGTTAAGAAAATCAAAACAAGATTTCGCTGAACGTTTCGCTTCTTCAGCAGATATATTCGGATTTTTATTAATTATCAAAATATATGATGACTGCTTACATATTTCTATTGGTAAAAATGTCTACGGACAAATGACCTTCAAATAAACTGACTTCAATTTATGTAAAAAATTTTGACTGTATATTTTGATGATTAATAAAAATCCGAATAAGTCTGTTGAAGAAGCTGTGGCTTACACAGCGAAACGTTCAGAAAACAGATCTTGTTTTGAATTTTTCTTACACACGCTGGGATTAATTTAAATAATAATTTATAATGAATCAATCTGAATCGGCGCTCAAATTATTCCAGGAAGTCCGTAACACTTACGGTCTGGAAACTTATAACATTGATGTTGTTAATAACACTAATTCATCCATTATTATGGGTGGATATATAACAGTAGAAGCTGATGATGAAGAGCAGGTTATCGCAGGAAGAATATTCTTTGTCCAGCGTAAGCATTCTTTTCAATGCATAAAATATTTCACAAAACGTATTGAACTTACATTCAAATCGTACACTGCTAACAACACTAGTATGTGCAGGTATTACATAGATTGCTTGTTGTTGACGTAAATCCCATATACGCACTGTATTATCAGCACTTGAAGTGGCTGCATGATACCCGTTATCCGCGATATCTGCACCTAACAACTCTTCAAGATGACCTTCTAAAAACATAATACACCGACCAGTTCGTAAATCCCAAACACGTGCATAACCATCCAGTCCAGTGGTTAGGGCTAATGAACCGTCTGGATGAAAGACAACATCATAGACAGGTTTAGAATGACCTTCTTGGTGAAGAATTTCTTCGCATACATCTAAATCCCATAAACGCCATGAATGATCAAAACATGTTGTTGCCAGGAAACGTCCAGATGGATGAAATGCTATACGTGACACTCTGTGCGGTGCATGTCCTTCTATGTCAGCTAACGGTTCTTCACTATCTAAACTCCATAATTTAACACTACCATCCTAAAAAATCAATAATAGGGAAGTATTATTATTATATTCGATTAAAATTTAAAAAATATATACTAAATTTTAAATGATCACCATTCAGTCTATTTATTATTATTATTATTCATGCATGTATGTCATTTCTGCAGCAATTCTATAAATTGAAGAAAGATATCTCATGGAAGTGTCTTCCAAAAGAATGGATATCCACGGAATTTCATCAAAAGACATATACCCCCAAGCCGCCAACCTATTGAATCAAAAGCCCCCAAGGAAAGCACAAAGAAAAGGAAATATCCGAAATCAGTGCAAGACTCTTCAAACCTTAAGAGGTTGACGTCTCACACAAACCAACAAAATCACTTAACTCAGCCAGCCAACACTGTGTCAACCAAAAGGCTCAACAGCGAACGAAAGAAGATGAAACCAACATCATCTACAAAATAAATTGTAACAACTGCGAAAAACACTACCTTGGTCAAAAGTGGACGTCCCCTACGTCTTCGTATCCATGAACATAAGCTAGCCGTCAAAAGACATGACATCCACTGCCTCCCCCATATCACTGCATACAGACAACCACGGACATCAATTCAACTAGGACAAGATCCAAATATTAGACAGCGAGAACACCAAGAATGCTAGGGGATTTTTAGAAGCCTGGTATTCCAGTGAATCGTCAATCAACGAACACACCGACATAGACAAAATTTACCAACAGACAAGAAGGAAATCTCACACACAAAGGGTTAAAGTCCGAGTTAAGGAAACAATCAGTTCCAATACAAGTAGCCTCGAAGGTGTGAAAACACACAGAAACAACCAAAGAGTTACGTTCAAGGTAGTCACCAGCAGAGATGACTAATAAACTCGTGGAGAAATCTAAAAGCTCACTTCAATTCAAATTGAAGTGTATGCGCTGAAGATGTTGGCTAGTAGTAGGGCAATAATGTGAAAGCTTCGCAAATTAACTATCCAGCTAGCTCAGAGAACACAACCATATCAAAATCATCCATCTGAGCTACAAATCTTCTCCATCATATCTAAGCCTATAAACAGTCCGCTAACCTTGTCTAACTACCACTTTTTCCTGCCTACATCGAGAGAAGACACATCGGCTCAACGAAGACTTTCACCAGCTTGCATCATTCTGTCTCTTCAATTTCAGCGAAGAATAAGTTTGTTTTGTTTTTTCACATTTTTGTGCCTTGAATTCTCTATAGAGATTGGATTAATTTTCGGGGATAGGGTCACTACTAGCCTCACTTTTAACCTTCTTTCTTTTTCCCGGCTGGAAAATTGGGGAACTAATAAACTAAATGAGGGTAAACCAACAAATACTGAGGTACTACCAAGTAGGAAGTCTAAAGTTTGTTACATCTTATCTTACATGTAACGTTTCTTAGGGGTCGCGCGTTAACGGAGGTTTTAATTGATTTCCAGTCGTTGTTTCTATCCTGAAGACCAGATGGCCGGTGGAAAGAATTATCACCAAGAAACTCTGAGAATGAACCAATCAGAAGCCTACTGTTCAACGAATACACCGCACAGGAATGGAGATGGATTGGACACGCTCCGAGGAGACACGGTTGAGTGACAGAGCGTTCTCGGGTGGAACTAGAATGCGAAACGACGAGTTGAGTGTTGGTTCAAGGGTGTCATGGAGGGAACCGTATGAGGAGATGAGAGTCAGGTTTGGCTAAAGAGGACTGCGGAGAATAGAACAGAACAGAAATGGGATGCTGAAGTGAAGCCCCATGTTTCACTTGAAACCCAAGGGAATAATAATAATCTGACTATAACTAAGGTATTTCTGATGTCATTGCATTTTGTGAGCTAGAAGATTTAAGTACGAAGCTTTCGTTGTAATTCTAGATGTCTGGTAATAGGAATGCAGCTTCAGCTCTAGTGCTACATCGGATGGCGATGCCATAGGGTCTTTAGATAAGTGCACAAGTGGTACTTGCCATTGGGACTTCCAGAGGAAGACGATAATTTAGCTATCCCTCTAAGGGATCTTGAATGAGCGTCTCCGTAATGCAGCAAACATGGATATTGGGGCTGCCAATTGTCCAATGATCATTAATGTGGGAACAATGTCGATGGCAAGCTTCAGAGCGACACACTATTTCATGATATCCGTGTAAGATATCGGCACTGAAGATCAACATTTTGGAGGTTACTCACTAACAAATCAAAACGCCAAAGATAGGTTGAGATTTTGAACAAAGGCGAAAGCCTGACGAAAGTGAAGACATCGAAGGTCTGATCCAGTGGAGCAGCATCAAGGCCTGTGTTCCCATTGGTTGGCGGTGAGTGAAGCACGTCAATTTTGTTTTCTACGTCGATTGGTTGAACCGAAAGGTTCGACCTCTGTTGACAACACTCAATCACCCAGTGTGTAGAAGGCGGGCACATCCATTAAGATGACGAGTCCTGAATGGGACGAAACGCACATCCCAATGTCAACTGCTAGTCATCAACCATCAAATAAGCAATTGTCATTCTTCTCCAGTTTGTTCACGAATTGATGTCAGTTAGAGAACCATTGAAAACCAGGTAGTATTGGACAGTTATTTCGTCCTAGTTAGCAACTCTTTATCAGTACGATGCCAAGATAGTTGACCATTCAGTCACTTCGGAGAGGAGGGGGAGGAAGAGAATCCATCGGTCCATGAGTTCTAACTCCTGTCAGTTCGCGAGTTTAGCGTGACCGCCACCAAATATCACCAGGGAATATTTTGTCCTCACATCCGATCTGGTGGAGCCCATGGGTCACGACTTCTCACTAGAACTCCAGGAAACCAGGCATTAATAGCCATTAGATTAATTTTCACGAGTTAGAAGTTTATAGGGATTTGATTTACTTGACGTTTGTTCACGGATTGATGTCATTTAGAGGTTGGACCCCAGGACTAGCAACCCCACCCCCATAAAAAATGAAACCACTGCTACGGGGACATCAAAGCTCATTCTTGAAGCCCTAGGACGTTCCACTAGGAAGGCAAAGGAATGAAATCTTTTTGAAAAAAAAACTACAGATAAACAATAATGTACACAACATACCTGAGCTGAACTAGCCAGTGCTAATTGTTGTTCAGCTTGAAGACCAGCTTGAGGATGCCATACAATAGCACAGGCTGGAGCAGAATGACCGCGTAGATTTAAAACGAGATTACAATCAGGCATAGACCATAAACGACACAGACCACTCCAAGAAGCTGTGGCCAGCTGTTTACCATCTGGCGAAAAACGACACATACTCAACGGTCGAACATCTCCAACTTGACTACACATCAGATTTGTGTTCTACATTGTCGAAAGAAACATAGAGTAGAAAAAAAGGGGCGTTAAATCTATAGAATGATAAAAATAATTTCAATAATTAATCACAGGAAAGGGTTAAAAAAACTGTAGATGAAAATTCTACGCTCGGTTTTACAAATCATATTAAAAAAATAAGACAAGTGTGCGTGTACTACTCATAAGATTTATCAGTAGTGTATATAAAGAGACGTTCATCAGCACACGCAAAAATATCGAATAATGGAGAGACAAAATTGACATCAAAGAGGGCAAATGAAGGAGCACTGCGGCAAAACATGGGAGACACTTGAAGAACATGAAGAAACACAATATATATGAAGGCCAGAAGTAGCAAGGTCTGTGCAAATGTGAATTATCAGATAACGTGTACACAATTTCGCTAAAGAGAGATACCAAATTCCAAATAAACATTCCGTTAATAAGCATTTCAAGTGAAGAGAAGTTCTTTTCGGTGGATTCGTCTTGTTTAGCTGTACAATCACGTCTATATATAATATCTTTTCTCTCCTTCTAGGACACATTTACGTGGGTCACCGTGAAAAGGTGCTCAAACCGAGGACGATTGAAATATATGTGCCGAATTTAGATTCCATCACAGAGTGAGTGGTCCACGGCTGGATCTCCTTACCTCACCTGATTCAGTAGTATCAACTCCATTGGTGAACGCTTCCAAAGAGAAGTTAGATCTCTGGAGAGAGATATTTTGCAAGGATTACCACAGGCCTGATTCTGAAGTGGTGAGTTGTCATAATCACAAAGTATCCAACACAGTCCTACAAGAGGCCAATCACTACGCTGAGTAGTTCAGGGACAACGTCTCTGAGTGCAGGTAGCACTGGGTGATGCGGGTTCGAATCTCCTCAGAAGGGACATGAGTTTCTTCAAGGTTGCAGATACTCCTTGCCAACTACTGGTGGTGAGTGTCGAGCACAAGACTTCCCCCCGATTGCCCCATGCATTCCATATCAATAGTTAATTATATCAATCAATACTTAAAAGAAGTTGAATAAGAGTGTTAGTGTTACGTAATAAGGCAGATGGTGTGTTTGAAACAAACAGAAGAGTTGTCTTTCTATCTGAATTCAACATAGAACTTGGCACCAAAGTGCAGCAGTTCGAGTTGCCACGTTCCAAATAGCGCACAAAGGTACACAAGAAGATGAGTGATGAGAATCAATAGAGTTTTCACAAGTATAAGAGTGAAACAGAATGAGTAATGGTAGGAAGGAATATGAAAGATTACACAGACTGAATACATCTGTGCCATTGACAACGTGTTTGAGCCATGTCACCTAGTGTCTCCAGCCATTGATTCTTAGAGTCCCGACGGCGGGCCCCAACCCGGAAGTCTGCATCTCCCTACCTGACTCAGTTCAACTGTCAAGGACTTCATGGATTGATGAGGCCATGTTTTTGTTTGGCATGGCACCACTTACTCTTTTCCAACCCACAACACCTATATCAGCTAGTAATGCCCGTCCGTCGGGGGAGGCGATGGTTAGGCGTGAGCAGCACGTCACCTGGCCATCTCAATCTATGTAACTTTATAGCCTCGTCGATTGATTTTCCCTCTTTGCCCATCACTCTACGCCTAACGTCAACATTACTTACCTTATTATACCACCTAACGTGAGAAAGAGATCGTAGACATCTGTGATCAAAAACAGTCAACCTTTTCATGTCTTCAGCTAGTATTGGCCATGTTTCAGAGCCATAGAGAAGGACGGAGCGAACTTCTGAGCAGTACACACGTCCCTTGGTTGATAGTCGGATGTCACGCTTATGCCATATACGGTGTAAGTTTGCGAAAGCAGCTCGAGCTTTTCGGATCCGTGCTGAGATTTCGTCACCAATCAGTCCATTGGTGCTGATACAAGTTCTCGAATAGGTGAAGTGGTCAACATGTTCTATCACTTCACTCCCTATCACTAAGCTAGGAGTTGACGTAGTCCAGTCCTGTAACACCATCTTAAATTTTACAGGGGCGAATCGCATTCCAAACATGCGAAGATTGCTGCTCAAGGTGTTCAGAAGACTCTGCATTTTGTCAGCGTCCTCCCATAACAGGACTATGTCATCTGCATATTCTAAGTCCGTAAGACTATTCCCTGGTAACAAGTTGATTCCTATTACCAAAACCTGAGATCAGTTTATGAACTTTTTGACTATTGATTGATCTGAGCCATCTAGGGAGGTGTGTATACTGTCTGGTTGAGATTCTTCGGATGCTAAGAACAAGTAGCTGGAGACTGCTGGTGATACGGCTCAATGTCCTGTTCTCGGTAGAACAGATGCATTCACTCACTGTAATCTCCACTATTATCTCTCTCTCTATCAGATTTCTGTTGAATATTTTGCGTTTTGCGTCTGTTTTCCTGTTTCTATTGTTTGCCTTTGTGTGCTCCATGGAATATGGGGCATGGGGAAGGGGGAGGGAACTTGAACTGCTGCACTTCTCTGCAAAGTTTCACGCTGAAACATGGCTCAGTTAGTCAACATGTCTTCATTCTACTTAACCACTACTACACAACCTTTGTCAGTTCGAGAATAACTGCATAACTGTCATAAAAATCAAGTGTTTTGTTCAAAAGGTTATTCAGTCATCAGTGTTAATTACTACACTGTTTCAGTGTGTGTGCGTCTTGGCGGAGGGGGGGGGGAGGTTTCATTCCCACCCTTTAGCGTGACTTAATACATGAACCTGTGACAAACACTCTAACTTTACTGGTTATTTTTAACAGAAATGTATACGTAACTAAGCAATTGTATTATTATTATTATTATTATCAGGTATTATCTCGCTGACTTCGAATATGCGGACGATACAGTCCTTCTACGTGAGGACGCTGACAAAATGCAGTCTTTTGAAGGCCTCGGGGAGCAGTAATCCTCGACTATTTAGCATGCAATTCGCTCTCGTTAAGTTTAAGATGATGCTACAGGAGTCGACTACATCAGCTCACTCTTAGCTTAAAGATAGGGAATGAAGTGGTTGGTGAAGCGTGTTCACCACTTCACTTGTTATCTGTGAAGTTACACCAACCACTGCCAGCAGTTTCATCGCTGTCGAAATCTCTGCACGGATACAGAAGGCTCGTTTCACATATGCCAGTTTAAGCCATCTCTGGCGTAGACATGATATCCAGAGCTGTCGATCAAAGGGCGCGTATCCTGCTCAGCGCAGCAGTTCGCTCCGTCCTCTTTTATAGGTGTGAGTGAGACCTTGCCATTGAGAGTGGAAGACTTGAAAAGGCTGGCTGCCTGTGTTCTATCTCTCGTGTTAGCTGGTATAGTAGGGTGAACAATATTGAAGTTAGCCATCGGCCGAGTGCTAGGTAAGGAGGGAGGGGAAATCAATCGACGAGGTTGTGAAGTTACATTGACCAAGGTGGTTAGGATATGTGTTAAGCTTGCTTAGTCATCGCCTTCCTCGACTGACGGGCAATGTTGGCTGACATATGCTCAGGTTGGAAAAGAGCCAGTGGTGGTTTTATCAGTCACTGGAATTCACAACAGTTAGTTTAAGCCAGCCTACCAGCCAGTCACGTAGGGAGGTGTAGGCTTCCTGACTGGTTGGGGTCCTCGAGAGTGTACAAACCAATGTAGGCTGGAGACAATCGGTGATATGGCTCAAAATCGTTCTCAATGGCTGGAACGCAGATGCATTCACTCCTTGTGACTTATGATTTCCAATGAAACTATATTGCTCTTCGTTATTACTATTCCTTTTGTCTCACATCCCTGTCTACTGTCTCTATTATGCACTTATTCTACTTTCTTCTCTTGTTTTGTGTGCTACAAGGAGGGAGTGTGACGACTTGAACTGCTGCGCATCAGTGCAAAGTTCTACGTTGAAACCAGTCAATCAATCAGTTCTATTATAAGCTTGACTACTCTATAATATACATTTAATAAAGTTACTAATTATAGAACTGACTACTTTAACTGTTAATGATACGTGAAAAAATGAAAAAAATCTTTTTGATCGATGAAGAAATGTGTCATCTTTAGGTCAAAAAAAAAGAAGAAATAAATACACATCTGTTATATCAGGTTTTCAGTAGATATATATTCACATGTCTTAGTTTTAAAAGCCTTAAAATTTGTAAAAAGAAAATAACACTAGAGCTTTAGATTGATTATAAAAGTGAAATGTATGTGACTGGATACACATTCTCGCTATATAAGCTCAATTAGTTCAACTCTAACATGCTAAACTATAGCTAGTTGATACCCTCTTTATGAACCTGTTGCGTGTGCTATTGAAAAGATTTATCAGTAGTATATATGCAAAGAGATGTTCATCGGCAGAAAAAAACAACATCAAATAGTAAGGAGATAGATTTGATGTCAGAAAAAAGGAATCAATACAGTGTTGCAGAGATAGATACATGGGAGATACGTGAAAGGGACACAAAGAAACACAATGCGATGGAAGGCCAGAAGTAGCAAGTACAATTCACGGAAGATGATCTGTGCAAACGATGATTTAAAGATGTGGTTCAGATAATTTTACGCTATATAGCCATACTAAATTCTAAATAAACATTCCCTGACTATTGTCTCTTGTCGTCTACCACTACAAATATACTGATCAACAATATTGTCCATAGTAGACTGTAGAAACACAAGGGAATAATAATCATGAGAATTATTACTTCATCTGAGCACAGAAAGATCATTCAGCTTATTTGTCTGTGTTAAAATGCATGGGATACATATGCACACATACACTAACGACTGATTAATTAATGCCAAGAAAGTACTCTAGAAGCAGTGAGTAAGCACTCCATAAAGTCAAACTTATCATGTGACGTCTGATAATACTATTCGGTCGCTCAGACTGAAGTAGGTAGACTGGAATTCGAATCTGTGACCCACTAAACTGAACACCAAGTGGCCAATTAGGCCAATGTACCAAATTTTCGCTACCTAAAAGATCAATTTTTGATGATATATGGTTTGAGGCAATCGGTGGGAAGTCTTGCGCTAGACCTACGCGCTCTTCAAGGCTAGTTGGCACTCACCAGTCCACAAGGCGTATCTCCAATCTTGATGGGACTCATGTCTCTTCTGAGATTAGAACTCGCGTCACCAAGTGCTGTAGTGAGAAATGTTACCACTGAGCTATTCAGGCTCGCGATTGACCTCCCCCTTGTAGGACCGTATTGGATATTTTCGACTGGACACTGGTCAGTAACTAGTGTAATGTGTCTAATCCTTTATTTGGTGCAGACAATGCTGACGAGTACCAACTAGCACGAAACCTAGGTCAGGCAAGGCTTCCTGCTGATTGTCAACAATCATCTAATATCAAAAATTCACAGTGCACCATGATAGCGAGCCACCTAGCATGGTGGGTGCATTGCAAACTTGACTGATAGAATTCAGATATCTATAACAAGCAAAATAATTGAGCTAAGAATATCCTTTTCGATAATTTCCTCTTCTCGCTCTACAATTATATATGTATGCATATGTTTATATACATGGAATATTCTAGATTAGTAGTCAATAACAGTATCGGCGTGTTTTTTAAATAATATCGATTTGTTAAGTTAGATCACAATGGAATTACCACAGTTCACTAAAGATGCTTAAATTATAATAATAATAAAGGTATAATAGCAAATAGAATATCAACTAAAATTAAGGAAATTTCTACAACAAACTGAGGATCATTCAAACCTAGATGGCCAAGGTTAAAGTAATGTTTGAACCAACTTCTTTTGGATACATAAATTAGGCGTCTTAATGTGGATCCCAACAACCAGCCTCAGCAATATGTAGTAGACGAACTCTTAAGGCGAAGTTAAGATACGAGATGTGGTATGCTGTAAATGACTTTGAAAGCCACCTTGTTAACATCAGTCTTATGTTCTGTATCCACAAGATGAGATAGAATAGCGCTACGAATAGATTTTGTTTGTCCGTTACTTAACCACTATGCAGGGTGATGTTCGGAAACCCAACGATAATCATGCCTAATTGTACGGCCTATGTACCTGGCTCCATAGGAGCAGTTAAATTGGTAGATACACATGGAAGAGGCGAAATCGGGTAGTTTATATTTAACTCCCGAACACAAAATAGGGCTGGTTTCGAAGACACATCATAATTGAGCAGCATTGAATGAATAATTATCGAAAAGGATATTCTATGCTGAATTATTCTGCTTTCTTATAGATGTGTGAATGAATATTTTCTTTATATTGATAGAATTCAGTCTACATCAAAGATAGGATTAGACACATTACACTAGCTACTGACTAATGTTCAATCAAAAAAGAGCTTTCATTGACGACTTTCAACAATCCATTATGAGTAATCTTCACTCCTTTATGTTAAAGCTCAATTAATTGAATATTTCGCAATATTCAATATTTACAATTTATCAATAAAAGAATTACCAAAATCCATGAACGTGAGACTTACTCGAAGAACTTTATGATATTCTTGTTGTTTAGCTTTACGTTGAGAGGCTGGTGCATTCGCGTAGTAAGTTTTAGCTCTATCCAAGCGTACTTTAGCACGAGTCAACGAAAATTCAGCTATCCATTGACGTGCTTCTGCAAGACTATCAGGGCCTTGATGATACCAAACTGTAGTATCCTAAACACAAACGCAAACACAGAATAGACAAAATAAAAAGGGTATTATTAGAAGAAATGTATAGAAATATATAACAATTAACAAAAGCACTATACCTACTCACGTTAGGCAGTAAATATACTGAAGGTTTGTGAAATGTGCACAGAGGCATTACTGTTCTTTAGTAGATGACGATGACTAGCAGTGGAATCCAGAATACGGATTTCGTCCTATTCGGAACTCATTATCCGATATTCGTTTGCGTAAGAGATGGCGGTTGTCATGGTTCAAATGGTCTACTGGATAACGCTGTGACGCTTGCAACGATAAGGTGTTGGGTGCGAGTATCAGTTGACGAGTCCCGAATGGGACGAAAAGCGCATGTTGGTTTCTACCCAACTGCTAGTCACTATCTACAACAAAACATCATCGAAGCCTTTGCACTATGAGTCGGTATGTGAACTAAGATCGGATATTTTGGTTCAGTTAATAAAACGGAAAAAACAAAACTGACTTTAGAAAAAAAATAGGACAGTCAAACTTTTTGCGAAGGAACTGTGGTTTATTCGTCTAGGCGCTTCGACTCCCAGGTGGTGGGTTACGGATTTAAACCCTGCTCCATCTGCTGAAGCTTGAGCACCATCAGGACACAATCGTTTCCTTTTGATTCACCAAATACACAGAAAATTCATAGAATAATGTAACTTGAAGAGATGTCGGAAATTCTTTATATATGAATTACTAACTCGATAATTGGCATCAAAAGTCATTTCAACACTCACTTCAAATTTCAGAGCCATGTTGAATTTCATGACAGGCAATGTTAGCTGACCGATATAGGGTCAGGCTGTAAAAAGAGTTAGCCAGTGGTGGTCAAACCAAAACACGACTTCACCAGTCAATGAAATCCACAACAGTTACTTTAAGCCAGCCAGTCACTTAGGGGAGTGTAGACTTCCTGACTGACTGGCTGGGGTCCTCGGTGCGGTAAACACCAATGAAGGCTGGAGACATTTGGTGATATGTCTCAAAATCGTTCTCAATGGCTGGCGCAGTTAGATGCATCCACTCCTTGTGACTTATGATTTCCAATTAAACTGTTTTGTTCTTCGTTATTACTATTCCTTTTGTCTCATATTCCTGTCTACTGTCTCTATTTTGCATTTCTCCTACTTTCTTCTCTTGCTTTGTGGGCTACATGGAGGGAGTATGGCGATTTGAACTGCTGCACATCGGTGCAAAGTTCTATGTTGAAAACAGACAGACAGACACGACACGACAGATTTGTTTAACACACCTAAATTACCTGGAAAACCACTGAAAAAGAAGGTATACCGAACAGCTAATTCATTTTACACAGTTCGGTGTACAACAACACAATGACGACGGCCAAACAATGACTTCGCTGAATACTGCATTATGTTGAGGCTGACAGGTTCTTTATTATCTGTCTGCCTGTCTGTTTTCGACATAGAACTTTCCACATATGTGCGGCAGTTCAATTCGCCACACTCCCTCCATGTAGTACACAAAGGAAGAGAAGAAAGTAGGAGAAATGCATAATAGAGACAGCAAACAGAGATGTGAGACAAAGGTATAGTAATAACGAAGAACAATATAGTTTCATTGGAAATTATAAGTCACAAGGAGTGGATGCATTTTCGCCACTGACAACGATTTTGAGCCATGTCACCAATTGTTTCCAACCATTGGTTTTTACCGTCCCGAGGACCCCAACCAGTCAGGAAGTCTACATCTTCCTAAGTGGCTTAGACTAACTGTTGTAGATTTCATTGACTGATGAAGCCATGTTTTCGTTTGACCGCCGCTAGCTCTTTTCCAGCCTGGCCCTATGTCAGCTAACATTGCCCGTCAGTCGAGGAAGGCGATGACTAGGTATACGTAACACATGCCCTAACCATCTCAGTCGATGAAACTTCACAGCCTCGTCGACTGATTTCCCCTCCTTACCTAGCACTCAAAGCCTAACCTCAATATTGCTCACCTTATTATACCACTTCACGCGGGAGATAGAACGCAACAACCACTAGCTTTCTTTATCCCTTTACGTTTTAAGTTTCAATAGCAGTGTTATAATTTGATGTATGAGGTGTTACAGGTTGTATGCAGATGAGAAGAAACCACAAAATAAAAATAACCCGTCAGATTCTCTGTGAGTCAGCAGTTCAGCGGTAGAATACTCGTCAGCTACCGTCCACGTGGTCCGGGTTCCAATCCTCAGTTTAAGCACTTTAGAAACCTCGCTTAGCTGTGAGTAAGCCTAGTAAGGCAGGAAGGTTAGGCATCGTGAGGCTACTTACTACTCTAACCCTGTAAAAAACACGCCACTGTTACTGTGAAACTTCTTCAAAGCTCCAGCCTGAAGTCCTGCGCGCATTCCACTTGGAGGAACGCAAAGAAATAAAATAAATAATCAATAAAAATATTTTATTCCCTGTTCTAATATATTTACTATTACTCCTTTCAAATTTATTAAAGAGAAATTTGTGTACAAACAACAAAATATATTTTAAAGTACAGAAGTAAATAAAGAAAGAAAAAACACAACTTACATCGCCTACAAAATCACCGGTGACCTTTTCACCTGATCGATTCACTGCTGTACCACTACCACTGGTCTCAGTAGATGATTTCGCTGATGTATCAGGCAGTGGTGGTCGTTGAGCTGGACCACCGCTAACCGCGAGAATCATACGCAATCGTTCTCTTCTGTCGGCTCCATCTTCACCGAATAAACCTAATATACAATGCAATAACACAATAGTAATAATTATAATGAAAAAAAGAAGGTGGGGATACAGAAAGTAGAACAGAGTTAATTAGCATTGTTATTGTCTACTGTGTATGTCAGCAACTCGTCATAAGCTTATGCGCCATATTGAACTGTGAGAAATCGACAGAGTTCAGTCTCAACTCATATGTACTCAAGCTGATCAATTCAAGGCAGTGAGTAACACTCAGGAAAGCTTCGTGTGTTTTTGAAAGTCCGCGGGAGACTGTTACTTCTTGGTTACCCACCTAGTGGAAGTTGGGTTTTTTTCCAGGATAGCTGAAACAGAAACAGCATTATTAGTCATGGAGACAATTGCTTAATGCTAGGCCACACGCGGCCCGATTCAACTGATTTTTACACTTGTGCCTGTATTAGGATCTTGCCCCTGACTACGGACCATCATAAAGCGTGACCTTATCCAACCATTCTCTCCAAAGCAGAGAAGAAGCACAGTTGATATGCTAGGGTCATCTAAGTGTCTGTAAGTATGATGTGTTTTTGCGCCGTCTAAGTGCAAAGTACTATTACAAGATTGGTAGGAGCCTGTACCTGCACTCACTCTTGCTTGAAGGTGAACCGCTTGAAGTTGTTGATAAGTTTGTTTATCTGGGTAGTTGTGTGAATGCTGGCGGAGGGGTGACGGATGAGATTTCCAACCGTATAAAGGAGGCTAGGATGGCATATATCAACTTGAGCCATCCCTGGCGTCGTCGCGACGTTAGCCTGGCTGTCAAAGGTCGGGTATACAATGCTTCGGTGCGGGTTGTCTTGCTCTACGCTTGTGAAACCTGGCCCCTCCGAGCTGAGGATATGCGGTGGCTCAGCGTGTTAAATCATCGCTGTCTCCACAGGATTGCTTGCGTTCAATGGCATCATCGCGTGAGTAATTCTGAGGTTCGGCGGCGTGTGTTTGAACGCAGTGGAGATCACCATTCATTGAGTGTCGTCACCTGGGAACACCGGCTCCGGTGGCTTGGACATGTGCTGCGAATGTCACCCCAGAGGCTTCCGTACAGGTCTCTGTTCGCTGGCCCTGGGACGGGATGGAAAAGGCGGAGAGGTAGTCAGTCCATGACGTGGCGTCGTGGGATGAAGAATATTTGTGCCAGGTTAGCATCGGTTGGTGGGTCACAACTCCCTGGTTAGGTTCCGAGAGATAGCTCGAAACGTTATCATATATGGCCAAGAATAGTAATCAATGGCGAATGTGGTGCAATTTACTTCTTTCTTCCCTTCCTGATGAAAGTTGACGAATACTGTTTGAACTTGTTAATTATGACTGTTTCCCTTCCAGATGAAGTTCTTAATCCGTTGTCTGCACCTATATTTTCCCTTTTAATCTATGTTGTTTTATTATTATTGCATGGCGTATCGGCTTGGTGCCATATTGTACCAAGTTTTTCTGCGTTCTAATAAGTAAATAAGGGTCATATAAGAGGAACACACACACCTTACTGCTGCGGCTTTGCCCACATAGTCTAAACAGCTTACACTATGAAGGTAATTGCTTTCAGTCTAACCACTATCCGAACGAATTTTCTAGCATGAGAGGAACCCGTAGGAACATTAATTCCAGTCCGTTTAGCTCTATGGATCACTGAAATATGCAAGTCATGCCACCACCCGTCAAGATAGCAGCAGTTATCGGTCAGGCTAATCAAAAACAAGTGAATCACAGTAGAACTTTTCAGATGGAATTATGATTGTATATTAAGCTGTGAAAATTAGTCACAACAGAAGTGACACTGAATCAATCAACTATAGACCATGTCAAGCAGCATAAGCATATGCAGAGTTTAGACAGCCCACACGTTTATGTTAAAAAGATGATTGTTGACTCATCTGAATCTACAGACATGACCATTGAAAGTGGAAAACATGAAAAGGCTAGATGTCTTTGGTTATAGGTCTCAGCGTTCCATCTCTCGTGTGAAGTGACATAATAAGGTGAGCAAAATTGAGATTCGTTAGAGGATTTCATCATGAGCTGACATCAGTTAGAGAACCACTGGAAAACCTGCCAGGGAGTACTGGACTGCTGTTTCGTCCCAGTACGCACCCATCGGGGTTCGAACCCAGGACCTTCTGGCTACAAGGCGAGTTCGTAGACCATTGAGCCACTGGGACCCGATCCAATGGTTCTTGAATTCTAACTTCTACCAATTCACGACATAGCGCGACCATTTCGCAATATCTTATGTGATGAGTTACTGCTCCATATTTGACCTGCTGTACCCTACTGGTCACGGCTTCCCACTGGTACCTCAGGTTAACTGCCTGGATAGGGCCAGTTGCTAGTGAGCATCAGATTAATTTTCAAGTATTGGTTTTGTAGGGATTTTTGGTTTGATTGGTTGGAGGATTTCATCATGAGGTCATTTGTACCAATAGAAATATGTAAGCAGTCATCACATATATTTGTAATGACTAATGTCAAATTGTCATTGTGTTTATTTTTCTATATTTGATTTGTAAGGATTATTTCTGTATGACTGTGTGTGTATATGCTATTTGTCATATGGAAGACGTCAATTCACATGTGATAAACATGATAATACATTTCTTAAAGGTCATGGAGGTTCATAGAGGCTTTTTGTTGTTTTCTCATCTGTCTTGCTTCATTACAGTTTGCCATATAGATGATAAGTCTATCCCTTCTCTCTTTCCTGTTTACTGCATTCGATGTGGTTCAAATTTGCCAGGCTTCAGAGGTTAACCATTCTTTATGTGTTGAATGAAATCCTCTTCCAGAATTTCGACATTGACGAAAACAATCTTATGTCCACTGTCTATCGCATCCACTGCTATAACCGATCTTTTTTCTAGACTTTTTAATTCCACTTCATTTCTAGGTGGACATTTCGCGCATAGTTCATGTTCATTCACTCTGATCTTCACCTGTCAATTTTCTGATTTCACTTCTACTCCCTTTTATTGATAATATTATCTAATAGCTTTTCTCGATAACAGTTTCCAATCAAAATCTGTTTTATATTGAGATAATTTTGACTATATATATTTTGATGATTAATAAAAATCCGAATAAATCTGCTGTTGAAGAAGCTGTGGCAGTTTACACAGCGAAACGTTCAGAAAACAGATCTTGTTTTGATTTTTTCTTAAACACAGGCTGGGATTAATTTAAATAATAATTTATAATACAACAATCTGACTCGGTGCTCAAATTATTCCAGGAAGTTCGTAACACCTACGGTCTGGAAACTTATAATAATAATAAGAAATTCAAATCTTGACGACAGTTCATTTGAACTATTTTGCAATCGAAAGAAAGAAGACAAAGCAATAAGTCCGACAGGGTGCTTCTACTAAACTCCAATCCTAAACACCATAATTTTGAAAATACGTCTAATCATAAAATTCTAGATACTAACAGTTTCAATAGACATGAAGGTGTGGTCTCGTTAGCTGATGCATAGGAAATAAATAAAAAATGGATATGTATCACTAATTAATAATACTTGGTCAAAATTCCCGATTGTCTATATCTTCTTATGGAGAGGTTAACAAATGTTTTACAACTGTTTACCCATACACACACATACACACTCTGTTTAAAGTGTTTAACAAAGGTAGACCAATATTTGTAAGTCCGGGGTCAAATTTCGATCACAGCTCATAAAATTTTGTTTATTATACTTGTTGATACTTTTTGAATGACTCATGATTGGACAAAGTTTTTAAAAACAAGTGATGTTCCTTTTATATATAAACCTCTGTTATGTTAATTCCGATTAATTTCCCTGAGGAAAATCGGACCAGATTGCCGAACGAAACGTTGGAATTACTCATTTCAATGTCGCTGAGATTTTACACAGATATAATTTTTAGCATATAAGAAGAAAGATAGGAATTATAATTTCACTTACAAACAGGTTCACCAAGTTGACGAAGATACGCTCGAACTTCAGAATCTTCAGTAGACACTTGAATTAAACGTGCCTGCATAACACAGATTTGATGAAATAATAACAAAATGGAGAATTAGTCGAAAAGAAGAGTGTAGAGAATATATTGCAGATAACTTTAAAGGAATAGGTGCTGCTTATAGCCCCACTTCCACCTCTTCGTAGTAGCCACGTAGGATAGTGTTTTTGCAGCCTCTTAGATAAAACTCAAGTTGAACGACCGATACACCTGGCTCCACGCGAGCAGGTGAATTGATAAACGCACAAAGAGCTGGTCAACTGAGGGATCTTCCCCTTTGGATCCAATATAAAACGCTTTACAGGATTTCATCATGAGCTGACATCAGTTAGAGAACCATTGGAAAACCTGGGAGTACTGGACAGTTGTTTCGGCCTATTTTGGGAGTCTTCAGCAGCACGCACCCACCCGGGATTCGAACCCAGGACCTTCTGGTCGCTCGCCTTGCAACCAGAAGGTCCTGGGTTCGAATCCCGGGTGGGTGTGTGCTGCTGAAGACTCCCAAACTAGGCCGAAACAACTGTCCAGTACTCCCAGGTTTTCCAATGGTTCTCTAACTGATGTCAGCTCATGATGAAATCCTGTAACCAATCAAATCCCTACAAACCAACACTTGAAGATAAAACGCTTTACCTAACGATGCTGCAGCTAGTGTCCCCTTTTCGGAGACTGCGCCTTAGAGTTCAACGTCACAAGTGTTGGACAACATTTCACAGGTTTCAATGGTGTATGTTCTTATCTATGAAAATATATGGAGGAAATCCAATTTCTATCAGGATTTTCCCTTAGTAGATTTAACTTTCCCTCCACAGCATCAGGAATACAGAATAGGGCGAATGCGAGTTGGTAGGTGATTGAATCAGGTTTCGTTTTCTATACATGGGTTTACAGCTGTAGAAATTTGTCAGCTTGATAATAAATTCTTTCTGTCTAAGAGGGTGTAAGAACACTGTATTGTCTGGCTACGAAGAGATGGAAGTGGGACTCTATAAGGAGTGCAATAACTGAACATTTTCTCATTACTGGTCACCACCTTATTTCTTCCACTAAAGTTATCTGCAAGACGAAAAATAACCTTTTTAAATATTTTTCCCGCTAAAAATTATGAATTATGTTTAATTTACTAAATCCAAATACCAGTTAGAGAACCATTGAAAACAAGCACTGTAATACTGGACAGCTGATGATTCCTCAGACTAGTTTAGAACCCATAGGAAGTACTCACCCACTACAGAGGATTCGAACACAGCGCCTTCCGATTACAAGGCAATTTCGTAGACTATTCAACCACTGGGACCCGATTCAATGGCCGATGAATTCTTCACGCGGACTACCGATGGGTCCCAAACTAGGACAAAACAGCTTTCCAGTAATCCCTGGTGGTTTTCAATGCTTTTCTAACCGATATCAATCCGTGGTCTACCCCAAACCAAATAGAACCCCTACGAAAACCAATTCTTCAAAATTAACCTGACGTTCGCTAGTGACTGGCTACAGGACGGAGTTCCCTGGAGTTCTAATGAGAAGTCATGACCAGTGAGGTCCATCCAGTCGAGAGTGAAGATGGAGTTCCCACCGATATGATATTGGTTGGTAGTCACGCTAAAACCACGAATCGGAAGAAGTTAGAATTCATGGATTGGCCATTGAATCGGGTCCCAGTGAATGGCTGAATGGTGTACGAACGAGCAAGCTTGCCTTGTAACCAGAAGGCCCAAGGTCAAACACCTAGTAGGTGCGCACTGCTGATGAGTCCCAAACTAGGCTGACGAAACAGTTGTCCAGTACTCCCTGCAGCTGGTTTTCAATGATTCTCTAACTGAAACAAATAGAATCCCTGCAGAAACCAATTCTTGAAACTTCCAAATACATTATAGAATGATGATACCTTTGTAATAAGAATCACAGGGAAACATGAAATTCAACTTGAAACTGTAATTCTAACTGCTGCAATGATTCTCTCTTCGCCAATTCTCATTGGATATTATTATTGTTTCCTTGGATTCCTAGTGGAACATAGCGCTTCAACTAAACGTCTCCACTTGTTTCCGTCTTCTGATGCACTTTTCACCTGCGTCCATGTTAATCCATACTCTTTCAATTCCTCTTCACACGATCTCCTCCATGTCACCCTCGGACGTCCCACTCGCCGCTTCCCTTTCGGGTTACACTCGAGCGTTGGCCTGACGCGTGATGTCACCTTGTGGCCTCCTCAGCGAGTGTCCAATCCATCTCCACTTTCTCCTGCATATTTGTCGGGCGATTGGTTCTTGTTTTGTTTGTTCCCATAGTTTCTTGTTGGTGATTCTTTCCGGCCATATGATCTTCAGTATAGAGCCAGCGAAGACAGTTGTTGATAAAGGTCTGCAACAGGCTGTTGGAAATATTCTTTGTGACCCGCCAAGTTTCTGATCCATCCGTATAGAAGAACTGACTGACTTGACGTTTGTATTGAAAATCCGAATCATTTTGTTGTTGATGCTGAGTGACGAAGATTTCCAGAATGGTTTCAGGTTGATGAATGTGTTTCTCGCCTTCCCGATTCACGATTTGACATCTTCGTCCGTTCCTCTTGCAGTTGAGACAATGCTCCCTAGATAAGTGAATGAAGTAACCTCTTTGAAGTCCCTCCAGTTGATGGTGATTGGCGCTGGATGTTGCTGCTGCTGTTGTTGTTGGTTGGTTATTTTCATAACCTCCGTCTTGTCTATGTTCACCTGGAGTCCTGTCTTTGCTGCTTTTTCGACCAGTTTGTCGGTTTTCGCTTGTAAGTCTTCGATTTTGTTCTCATTGGATAACAAATGGTATATTCGGCTATTTAATACTTATTAGGTAGATATACTTGGAATACCACCTCTTGTAAAACCATTGTGGGAGTGGGGTGGGGTAGTTTTAGTGAGGCAGCATCAAGATTCCTCAACGTTGCACATATATGCCTCTGACTGACAAGGGGCAACCAGGGTATAAAGTCCAGACCAAGACGGACATCATGGTGATTGCACTAGCTATAGTCGTTTGTTGTAGTCACTCGAAAGGTAAGGAACGAATGGAAACATTTAGCATTTATAAAAGGTAGAAAACGCCCCCCCCCCACACCTTCACACACATGCACTTATCATTCCAAATAGAAAATTACTTAAATGATAATAAAATTCTCACTTTTTTACGTAATTCCAACTGGTTTAACGCTTCTTGAGCATTTTTATCTACGTCATTTATTATGGGAAGACCTAATCAAGAAAAAAAAGGAAAATTAACGTTTAAACACGACTTAATGAAATAAAAAATATCACAGCTTGATTTATTAGTCTGTTATTATTATTGTTCTTCGGTTGGGTTCCGAATGGAACCATGGGTGATCCACAACGAAAAACTCACCGAGGCGTTCGAAGTGAATACAGGAGCGAGACAGAAGTTAGAATTCACGGGCTGGCCATTGGATCGGGTCCCAGTGGCTGATGAATGGTCTACGAGCTAGCTCGTCTGGTAACCAGAAGATCCTGGGTTCGAACCCCTATGGTGGGTACATACTGCTGAAGAGTCCCAAACTAGGCTGACGAAAAAGATGTCCAGTACTCCCAAGTGGTTTTCCAATGATTCTCTAACCAATGTCAGCTCATGATGAAATCCTGTAACCAATCTGGATTATGTGTCAGACTGTGGGAAATGAGAAGATAGGAATACTCATGATAATAAAGGTTTTCTTGTATTTCCCTATGAATGAAGAACGAAACGATACTCTTGTTTTTACTGACGTCTCGCTATTTAAGGCGGCTGCTAATAGCTTTATCACCAGTTTCCCAAATAATCGCTGACCCTTTCATGAATAGATTCGAAGACAACAATCTTTTCAAGCATACTCACTCCTAAAATATGGTTGAGATAAGTAGATGATACTTTTGTGGTGCTAAAACAGTTCATTCCTGGAGAAAATAAACTGTGCATCTCCCAGAATCCAGTTTACTTCGGAAGCAGGCAGAATGAGACGTCGGTGAACTACCATTTCTAGACTGGCTGGCTAGTTAAGAGGAGGGAAAACGGACATTTTAGTATATCTATATTCAGGAAGAAAACCCACTCCAATAAATATTTAGACTTCAAATCATCACACCCCATCAGCGCAAAGATTTCAGTTGTTTCAAGTCTTCTTAGACGAGCACACTCTGATAACGGATGAGTAAGAAAAAGGAGAAGAAATATCAAACATTACTGAGACTCTCAAGCAAAACAAATACCCAAGGGACTTCATCAACAAAATCAACACAGACATTAAGTATGGCCGAAAACGTATTCCGAAAACATGGACCACAATATTTCTCATTTCATATAGAGCGGAGACGTCAGATGATATCAGAAGAGTACTCAATCAGCTCGACATTAGAGTTTTCTTCAAAACATCAGACACACACTACAAAGCAACCTTGTTCATATAAAAGACCGAATCCCTAAAGATTCTCTATCTAATTGTGTCTATAAAATAAAATGCTTGGAATGTGATGCGATATACATCGGACAAACATCGCCAGAAAGAAATCAAAATCAGAAGAAATGAACACCGTAGAGTGAGTGTCTGTCCGACCACCGAAAAATCCAGCTGAAATAGAAAACCTTGAAAAATCATCTGACATAGCTTGTCTACACGCTAAAACATCAGGCCACAAAATTGATTTTGGCAGTGTTGAAATAATCCAGAAAAAAATCACAAAGAACGTCTAATATCATCAGAAGCACTTCATATCAAGTGGAATTCAAACTGTCTGAGCTGAATAGGAATGATGGACTAGAACAGAATTTGACCTGATTACAACACCCTGCCCCAAAACCCGCATGAAATGACAAAATCAACACGAATGTGATAATCAATTTCATTATGTAAACACACACTGCTTTTGTATAATTTTATACACTTATCAAATCCCACAATCTACACTTGGTTCTGTTATCTTTGTCGAGTGGCCAACTTGACAACGCAAAAATGCCCCCATACTGAGGAACGATGATTTATCTGCCATATTTAAGCTGAAATTTTGAAAACTAAGGTTTAATATTACTACTTTGATAAAGCTATTAGCATTAAACAGCGAAACGTCAGTAAAACCAACAATATCGTTTTCTTTTTCATTCATTGGGAAATACAAGAAAACCTTTATTATAATGAATATCATATACCCAACCAATGCCCAAATTTTTTCAGATTGTGAAAAGTGAACTTGGTTTGAACATATATAAAACAGGAATACGTTGGACCACCGATGATAAGACACTGGAAGATTTGGATTTCAGGAGTGGATGATTTATGCTTAGTGTCACTCGAACTTTGAAGCTTACAGGAGAAAACCAAAAAAATGGTTGAATAATCAGGCAGGCAGCGAAAACAGGACTGCAGGTGAACATAGAGAAGACGGAGGTGATGAAGATAACCAACCAATAACAAACACAGCAACAACAACCAGCACCAGTCACAATCAATAGGAGAGATCTGAATGAGGTTACTTCCTGCCCTTACTTATCTAGGAAGCATCGTTCCAAGTACGGGCGGGACGGATGAAGACGTCAAAGCTAGCCAGTCAGAATTGGAAAGGCAAGATACGCCTTCATCAACCTGAAACCAGTTTGGAAATCTTCTGCTGTCACTCAGCCAGCATAAAGAACAAGATTCGGATTTTCAACATCAATATTAAGTCAGACAGTTCCTCTATATCGGTCAGAAACTTGGCGCATCACAAAGAGCAAACTTTCATCAACAGCTGCCCCCACTTCGCTGGCTCCATACTAAAAATCAAATAGCCAGGAGGAATTATTATTATTGTTTCCTTTAGTTCCTAGAGGAATAGAGGACTTCAGCCACGCGTCTCCATTGCGTTCGGTTCTCTGCCAACGTTTTCACCTGGCTCCACGTCTACCCACATGCTTTTATCTCCTCATCAGATGACTTCCTCTATATCACCCTCGCACTGGCGACCAACTCACCGCTTCCATTTCGGGTTCCATTCGAGTGATGGCCAGTCTAGTGATGTCACTTGGTGGTTTCCTCAGAGTTATAGCCAATCCACCTACCTCCATTTCTTCCTTGATATAAGTATAAAACTTTGGGCACTGTGGTAGAGTATAATTCCATAATGGATAAGATTTTATTTTGATAAATCACACAGTGTAGTACAGTTATATTAACTGATGACGTTTCGAGCACAAACTATTGCTCATAATCATATCAAGTTACTCACACAGCTTCTTTCCTTCATTTATATACATGTGTGGAATCGACTAGATATTGGAATAAAATTCAATATGAGATAATGTACATTCAGAAATAGTAGTACGAGTGTTATTAATCCATTGCAATTAGATGGGAAATACGACGAGTGTTTTTATAGTCATAATAAGTTGATTGTTAGAATGTGTTGATGTGTTTGAATGGAAATAGAATTTTAAGACTATTTATCATCTTCTTCTGATTTGACTGGTGGCAATAATACGAGTGTTATTAATCCATTGCAATTAGATGGGAAATACGACGAGTGTTTTTATAGTCATAATAAGTTGATTGTTAGAATGTGTTGATGTGTTTGAATGGAAATAGAATTTTAAGATTATTTATCATCTTCTTCTGATTTGACTGGCGGTAATAATATCTTCCATATTTCTGGTATTTGCATTGAGTCACTTCTGTTGCATGTGTTGGGTGTAGACTCGATGAATAAGGATTCCGTAATCAACCTCTCTTTCCACCTACCTATATTACGTTTTAGAATTTTAACCCTATCCCACCCTATTGTGTGGTTGTTTGTTATTGCGTGAAGTGCAATAGCTGAGCTTTTTTCTAAATTACTTATCTTTTCAGGGTCAATCATTTTCCCTTTAGCTAAATTCTTATGTTCTGATAATCTGACTATCCCTGACCTACTAGTTTGACCTATGTAGATGACTTCACAGTCGTTGCAAGGTATTTTGTAAATTATATTATTTTGTTTAATTGGGTCCAACGGGTCCTTTAACCTACAAAGTTTGTCTCTGAGTGAGTTTGTTGGTTTGAATGCTACCCTAATTCCTGCTTTATTGAGAATCCTACGTAGGGTCTCAGATGTCCCCTCCTTATATGGTATAACAGTAGAAGACTTATATTCTCTCTTATTTGTGTTATTACTACTAGTTACACAATTATTTTTATTTTGTTTTTGGCCTTTGCTGATCTTCTTAATGAATTTTATAGGATAGTTATTCAACACCAACGCTTCTTCTATCTGTTTTATTTCGTCATTTAGGTCCTTTTTTGTGCTACTTAGTGCTATGGCTCGGTTTGTCAGACACTTAACCAAGCCTACCTGCCATTTCTTCCTGCTTATTTGTTGCACAATTGGTTCCTGTTGGGTTGGTTCTCTCCCAGAGATCCATGTTGCTGATCTTTTCTGACCGGTCATCTGATCTTGAGTGGTATTTAGCGAAAACAGATGTTGGTGAAGGTCTGTAGTTTATTTGAGGTGCTCTTAATGACGGGCCAAGTCCATGATCCATAAAGTAGCACTAACTTTACATTGGAGTTGAAAATCTGGATCTTATTTTTCATGCTGAGTTCTGTTGACCTCCAAACAGACTTGAGAGAAATGAAAGCTTGCCTTGCTTTTCCGATCATCGCTTTGATATCCTCATCGGTTCCGTCCGCCTGTAGTTGAAACGATGCTTCCCAGATAGGCAGGTAAGTGAAGGAGGTTGCTTCTTTCAGATTCCTCACAGTTATTGTGATTGTTTTCTGTTGTTGTTGCTGTTGGTGTTGGCCAGGAATCTTAATCATAGCCTCTGTTTTCTCTATGTTCACCGGAAGTCCTATCTTCTCTGAATGCTTTTTCTGCTTGTTGCTTTTCACTTGCATATCTTTCAGTTAATGGGAAATTAGAAATATGTATCCTCGGCGAAATCCAGATCCTCCAAGTTTTTTGTGTGGGTCCATTTTATGCCTGCCAGGAGGAATTAGTAACAAGAAACTCCGGCAGCAAACCAGCCAAGAGCTGATCGCTCAAGAAATACACAGAAGAAAATTGAAATGGATCAGGCATACGTTGAAAAGCCGTCAAATGACATAGCGCACCAGGCAACTGCTCGAGAGGAACTCCAATGGGAAGGGATGAGTCGGTCGTCAATGCAAGGGTGACATGGAGGAGATCGTGTGTTGGAGAGGAGGAGATGAGAGATTAGGTACAACAATGGAGCCAGCTGAAGAGGACAGCAGAAAACAGAACAAAGTGGAAATGTGATGTTGTTGAAGTCAGCCCTATGTTTCATTCAACTGATACAACAAAGCAGGCAAAGAAACACAGATGAAAGTCAGCATTAAAAAACACGTACACATTTATTAATAAGCACAACTTACCATCCATGATTGCATTTGATGCTGCTGCATGAGCTTCTCGTAACCTTTGTAGGTCAGCTAATGTAGTCATCTTTGATTGTTACAGATGTACAAATGCGCAGAACTAAAAATCAATAACAAATAGAAGAAAAAGACAAACAGAGGTGAAGGCGGTGAATATCATGATGACAGCGATTTCGGTTATAGTTAGAATTCAATTACACACAGAACATTTCTTCCACATATATGTATATACACCAGTCTGGCAGCTACACTTAACAAGCGAGGATTGATAATACTATCCCAGTTGGCTGCCCCAGTTGAAGTAGGTTAGCTGGGATTCAAACCCGAGACTCACTGGTTGAAAGTCATGTGCTTAAACTAATGGCTTAACTGTAGACCTCTCCGAGACCTACCTGCTTAAATTTTGTAACCGACTGCTGTCAGTTCGAGGGACATACTGAAAATCAGGGAGTAATGGACAGATGTTTCGTTCTAGTTCAGCACTCTTCACCAGTACACACACCACAAACACAAACCGGAGATCGCACCTGAGACACTCCGGTTGCGAGACCAAGTCCGGTGACCATTTAGTCACTGGGGTACCATTTACTGTCCAATCTATAACTTCTAACTCCTGTCAGTTTGCGAATTCAACACGACCGCCACTAGCCACTGTCATTAGGGAGTATTTGTCTTCAAAACCGACCTAGTGATTGTCTAAGTGTGAGACTTCAATCCATGACAAATCAAGTGTCCACAAAAGTAACTCTTGAGAATGAATCTGATGCTCACCACTGACTGATTTTACAGGAGGACGAAGTTGCCTGGAATTCCAGTGAGAAGTCATGACCCGTCAGGTCTACTAGGTCGGGTGCAGCATATAGTTGAATTATTTGATTAGTTGATACATTATAATATTCACTTCTAACGAGTATATTTCTTACTCTAGAGCACATTCGAGTCCCATAGTTACGTCACATTACAATATATCATGATAAGGTTTGAAAAGCTCATATATGATGATTACATGATACAACCATGATATCCCGCTATCGACCAAAGGACGTGTGTACTGCTCAGTAGTCCGCCTCGTCCTCCTTTATGGTCGTCGGTGAGACATGGCCATTGAAAGTGGAAGACATGAAAAGACAAACTAGCTGTCTTTGATCATAGGTGCCTGAGTTCTATCTCCCGTGTGAAATGGTATAGTAAGGTGAGCAATATTGAGGTTAGGCTTCGGTCGAGTTCTAGGTGGGTGGGGAAGGGAAATCAATAAACGAGGCTGTGAAATTACATAGATTGAGATGATTAGGACATGTGTTACGTATGCCTAGTCATCGCCTTTCTTGACAATGGGCGGTGTTAGCTGACATAGGATGGATCAGGCTGGAAAAGAGCCAGTGGTGGTTAAACCAAACATAGCCAATGAAACCCTTGCAAGTTAGTTTAAGCCAGCCAGTCACGTAGGGAGGTGTAGACTTCCTGACTAGTTGGCGTCTTCGGGACGGTGAACACCAATGACGGCTGAAGACAATCGGTGATGTGGCTCAAAATCGTTCTCAATGACTGGAACGCAGATGCATCCACTCCTTGTGACTTATAATACCCAATGAAACTATATTGTTCTTCGTTATTACTATTCCTTTTGTCTCATATCCCTGTTTACTGTCTCTATTATGCATTTCTTCTACTTTCTTCTCTTGGTTTGTGTGCTACATGGAGGAAGTGTAGCTACCTGAACTGCTGCACATCGGTGCAAAGTTCTATGTTGAAAACAGACAGACATGATACAACATACATTCAAAAAAAACTGCTCAGTAACTACTAGTTACGGGATCGGAATAGAATGGAAGACCATTTCATTCTATTTAACCTTGTCTAGTTTCCTAGCCGCTCCTTCCCAACCACACAGGAAGGGGGAGTTACGTAAGCGGATAGCAATCCTACCCCGGGGGAATTAAGCTAATCATGCGCTACAGAAACTTCAAAATAACAACAACTAACCAAGATATTCAAGTGTTGGTTTGTAGGGATTTGATTGGTTACAAAGCGCCTTGTAACCAGAAGGTCCTGGGTTCGAATCCCGGTGGGTGCGCACTGTGAAGAGTCCCAAACCAGGACGAAACAGTTGTCCAGTACTCCGAGGTTTTCCAATGGATCTCTAACTGATGTCAGCTCATGATGAAAATCCTGTAACTAACCAAGAGCCTATTCTCTGACAAATATGCTGGAAGAAGGAAGAGATGGATCCAACACACACTGAGTGACGTCATCAAGCGTCGTGCCTTTGAGTAGGACCCAAACGGGGAGTTGATGATTGGTCACAGGTCTGGTTATGAGCTGACAATATTTTGAAAAAAGTTGAAAGACCAGAAAGTACTGAACAACTGCTTCTTCCTAGGTCTCAGGCTCTTCAGTAGTATACACCCTCCGGGGTTCGAACCCAGGACTTTCCGATTACAAGGTAAGTTTGTAGGCCAACTCAGTCCCCAGATATAATCGAATTACCCATGAATTTCAAATTCTGCCAACTCTCTGCATGATATCGGCGTACGAACAAACCTGTAGACAATCAAATGCTCGCAAACCAACACGAAATATATACCTAACCATTCATAAGGAAAACACAGGTTTTCTGTTTAGCGAAGAATTATTTCTCTTTAACGACTTGATTTTCAAGCTGTACAGTCGTATTTATATTAGGGGAAAAGGTATTAAATGGCACTTGAAATTGTTCAGTCAACATACATATGTTAAGAATTAGGATAATTAAAATGTTTTATTAAGGCGGCGAGGGGTAGAGTTGAAGTGGATGAATTGCAGTACTTTTAAAGATTATTAAATAAGTGAATTGATATTAAGATTTTAAAAATAGTAGACCAAGTGTTGTCTAAAATATTACCAATACGATGGTGATAACAATAAAGAAAGCGAAGATGAAGTGAAGTGAGATGAGTTCAAGTGGGAAAATAGAATAAAATAAAAGAACATTGCTATGACCAAAGTAAAGAAAGGGGTCTAACGTAACGTTCTTGAACATATAATATAGGTTTCTTTCTGTCCATGTATAGCTAGAGCTTCGGCTATGCATAAGTGGAGAAAACGTAAGCTTTTAGAATGTTTGGATTTGGTCCGGTAGATAACTTTGAGGGATAAATCACGTATGGGGAGCTGAATGACCTGACTCCAGAAGGTGTTCACAAATTGAAGACTTCCTCATCCTATGCTCACCTCATATTAACCAAACCGGGTGGTAGTGTTCAGCTACGCGTTTACGTTCAGCATGCTTACAACGTCCACCGTAATCAGCTTCACACAAGCATGTGAATGAGAATAGATGCACATAGAGGTGGACATAAGCGGTAGTTTATCCTTGACGCATTGTCGAATCATATTTCAGCTGGTATATACAAAGTGTATAAGTCAACTGCATATAAGGAGAGTTCGATACATTCAGTACACTAACTTCAATGGTTGAGTACCTCTAGGCAGAAACAGAAAACTTATCCGTTCTCTATGCACTAGAATTCGGAAAATTCGCTCTATAGACATGGTCGACAGTGAACTAGAAAGCATTCGCACAACTCTCTTAAATATTGGATACCCTAGAAGGTTTATTGACAGAAATATCGAGAAAGAAACCGTCCCTAGCCAAACCACAGTGCTAAAGAAGACACTGTTTATGAGTTTGGTGTTCAAAGGTAACACTATTGTTGAAATAGTAATTAAAAGTCGTTTATCTAAATGCATTAAATGCTCTTTTTAAGCAGCTGACTTACACATTTAAGATTTACCAGCCGAAATATGATTCGACAGTGCATCAAGGATAAACTATCGCCTATGTCCACCTCTATGTGCATCTATTCTCTTTCATATGCTCGTGTAAAGCTAATTCTATTGGATACTGTAATCATATCCTTCGTAAACGCGTAGCTGAACACTACCATCCGGTTTGGTTAATGAAAGGTGAGCATAGGATGAAGACGTCTTCAATTTGTGAACACCATCTGAAATCAGGTCATTCACCCCCACATGATTTGTCCTTTAAAGTTATCTACAGGACTAAATCCAACCATTCTAAAAGTTTACGTCTTCTCCATTTATGCATAGCCGAAGCTCTAGCTATATTCTGTTTTACCACTTGAAATCATCTCACTTCACTTCATCTTCGCTTTTTCTATTGTTATCATTATCGTACTGTTAATTTTTTAGACAACACTTGACCTGAGGTAAACTGGTGGATGGTGACTGGCAACAGAATCCACGATGCGCACTTCATCCTATTTGAGACCTGTCAACTGGATGTACTAACTTCCCTAGTGACTGATGATATTCCCCGTGAGTGTCGAACGCAGTACCCCCCCCCCATAGTTTCAAACGCCAATGATTTATCTATTAGACCATTTGAGCCAATTCGAACTTTCCCGTTGATTGACAGACACATGTCAGTCTGAGGCCGAGCACTTCGAGTCCATCCGATCAATCAACAGCGAAGTCCAAAGTGAATTAGAAGTAATAACTGATACCCGTTGCATAAGGAAGGCTTGGCTCTCGTGGTCCACTTTGACCTTTGAAACTCTAGATAACGGGTTCGAGGCTCAGTGAGAACACCATCACTACCTGGAGAGTATAAGTAAATCCAGTTGACGAGTCCTAAATAGGACGAAACGTGCATCTTGGATTCCACTGATATAGTCCTCATCCACCAATTTACTTGAAGTTAAATAATCCATCAGGCATCGTCGAAGCATATGGACAAAGAGCCGCCGAAACGTCAACCTCAGGCAGAGCACTTTGGGACCAATCAATCAACAGGATAGTCCAAATTAAATTAGACACTTGACCTGTATTTAAATTCTTAGTGCCAATTTCATAATCCTTAAAACGAAGTTGTCCAGAGTTCTAGTGAAAAGTCGCGGATAGTACGGTCCACGAAGTTAGATAACAGGATAGTTATTTACCACGATAATATTGACCAGAGTTTACACTAATCCTCATACTAACCATGTTACTTGTTTAGGCGGCCATGATGATTATGAGAGAAAGCTTCAGTGAGACCAGAACTACATACACCTGTGCTCTCAACAGCTGAAATACCACTGGTTAAACACTGATGATCAAT